CTCCATGGTCTACATCAGATCCTCAGGACTTATAAGAGAATGTTTGTAGTCTTGGGCCAAAATCTCTCTACCTCCCCCACCCCCAGCCTCTGGTATCCACCATTCAACTCTCTGTTTCTAGAACTCAACTTTTTTTTAGATTCTACATGAAATAGGGTATTTGTCGCTCTTTGTCTGGCTTATTTCACTTAGCACAATGCCCTCCAATTTCATCCATGGCACAAATGGCAGTGTTTCCTTCTTTGGGGCTGAATGGAAGCATTCCCTTGTGTGCGTAGATCACCCTTTTTACCCATTCTTCCATCAACTGACACTCAGTTGTGCCCACACCTTAGCTCAGGGCTGCACAGCAGTGCAGATATTTCAACATACTGATCTCTTTTCCTTTGGATCTATACCCCAAAGTGGGACTGCTGGGTCATACGGCACTTTTGTTTTTAATTTTTTGAGGAACAGTCATATTGTTTTCCATCATGGCTGTACAAGAAGTGATGGTGAGCTCATTTCATATATCTGTGGCCATTTGTCCTCTTTTGAGCAATGCCTATTTGGGTCCTCTGAGTTTTCTCAATAGGGTTATTTGTTTGTTTGTTTTTCCTGTTGAGCTGTTATCACATTCTAATTTCTCAAGGAGCTCACAGTCAAGTATGGGAAACAATTGGATCAATGGGTTACACTGCACTGTGATCATGATAGGTAACTTTTAGTTAAAACTTACTATGTGAAGGCAACAATCTTAACCATGTTACATGGCGATAGTACCAAGTTAATACAAACACTTAAACACTTCTGGGGATGCCTGAGAGGGTGATTCTAGATGAGATCAACATTTTACTGCTAGACTGATAAAACAAAATGTCCTCCCCAGTGTGGGATCCAGGGTGGACCATCCAATCCATTGTGGATCTGAGTAGAGTAAAAAGGCAGAGAAAGGTTGAATTTGCTCTTTCTACCTACTCAGACTCAACATCAGCCTTTCCCTGATCTCTGACTGAGATTTACACCCTTCAGATTTGATCCTAATCACATCAGCAGCTTCTCAGGCCTCTAGCTGCATAGGGAAGATCAGAAGTCTTGTTGTTGTTGTTTGTTTATTTGTTTGTTTTCATACGGGGGATGGATCCCAGGGCACTCTACCACCAAGCTGCCTCCCCAGCCCTTTTTATTTTATTTTATTTTATTGAGATAGATGTGAGTCAAGTCTCCAGGCCAGTCTCAAACTCGAGCTCCTCCTGCCCCAGACTCCCAAGGAACTGGATCACAGGCAAGGTCACTGAACATTTTAAACCCTACAGGATTATAATGAGCCATTTCCTTATAATAAATCTTTTATTCTATTGGCTCTGTTCTCTAGAGAACCCCAACTAGGGAATTATCTCATCTCATCTCCCAATGACCTTATGAAGTAGTCTTGTTTTTAGTGACATTTTGTAGGCGAGGAAACTGAGACATAGAGAAGATCTAATTTGTCCAAGGTCATGCAGAAAGCAGGCGCATAGGTGAAAAATGGTTGCCCCTGAGGAATAAGAGCGGAAGCGGAACGAGAAGCAATGGACGAGGGCGGAAGATGTCATAGGTCCTCCCACGACCTGATACCCGAGCCTCGTGTGGGTATCATGGCTTGGGTTGCCCATGAGCAGAGAATCAGACCAGAGGCTCCGAAGAAAGGGGGCAAGGGGCGCTGCCGTCCAAAGGGGCTTTGGAAAAGTGCAGATGAGGGCAGCACCAAAGACAGGCTTTTCCAGCCCTGGACTTTCCCTGGGGCCCATTTGTCCCTCCCTTCCTTCCATTTCTATGAGTTAAGGTGCTAGAACTTCTGGGGACAGGATGTTTTATATACGACTCGTAGGTGACAAGACAGGTCAAGAGAACCTTCATGTCCTGCCCCACGATTTCCAGACCAGTCCTCCTGCCACCAACACAGGGAAAGCAGGCAGAGGACGCGCAGTGGCAGTCCAGCCTTGGTCCCCTCACACCTGTCCCGGAGCTCCTCCTTCCTCCTTTGGCCACTTCCTGTGGCTGATTAGACATGGTTCCCATCTGGAAGGGAAATATCAGATGGGATCCTAGGGGCAGGAGTCTGACTGAATGATCCCATGCTTGAAGGTCATGTGCAGGTGCTGTCAGTATCTGTTTTTCTACTGGAGGAAAAAAAATTATCCTTTCTGAATGTGGCACAGCCACAAAGCAGGCAKGGCGAACCTGGGGAAGCGAACTACCAGCTGTCACACACACAGGGCCTAAAAAGCCCAAATGCCATCCCTAACTTCCCTCCCTCCTCCGTGACCCTCCCCCATCCTCCTCTGCCCTCTCCTTCTCCACTTTGCTGAACAGCCCCTTTCTCTAGTGCTGTCATCTCTCGGATCCAGCAGATTGGCCTTGTCTTTGGTCTGCCAACACTTTTGGCTCCTCTGTCTCTGCTGTCTTCCCACTAAGCCCTTTTCTACTCCTCTACCCACACACATTCTGACTTTGAACTTGAATCCACTTAAAAGACAAGATATTGCAGCCAGCTTTCATATCCGTGGGTTCTGCACCCATGGATTCAATCAACTGTGAATTGAAATATTCTTAATTGCATCTGTATTAAATACATACGAATGTTTTTTTTTTCTTGCTATTGCTCCCTAAATAAKATAGTAGGACCATGACTCACATAGAATTTACGTGGTATTAGGTATTAAAAATAATCATGGGCTGGGGATGTGGCTCAAGCGGTAGCGCGCTCGCCTGGCATGCGTGCGGCCCGGGTTCGATCCTCAGCACCACATACCAACAAAGATGTTGTGTCTGCCAAAAACTAAAAAAAAAAAAAAAAAATCATAATATAATGATTTATAGCATACAGGAGGATGTGCGTAGGCTCCACACAAATACCACATAAGGGATTGTGCACCTGTGGATGGTAGTATCTTCATGGGGTCCTGGAACCAATCCCCCAGGGGTCTAGAGGGATGACTGCTCTCCCTGTCCTGTCTGGTTGACGATTATTGGGAAGTGAAACAAGAAGGCCACACACACAGAGGTTCAAGGTGGCTGTTTCCGCATGTGTACGTGGAAGATGAAGAAACTCATCTAGAGGGAGATGGCTAAATGGGATGGGGGAGATGGGACCAAAGACCACAGGGCTAAGGAAACCAGACAGTGACCTAGATTCCCCACCTTCCGGACCCCGTCAGCAGCCCTTCCCCGAGAGCTACGCTCTTCCAACATGGTCACCTGTCTCTTGCTCCAGAATGATGCCAGGCTAGGACATTCGCTTTCCCGGACTGCAAACTACCTCAGCCTTCTCCAGCCGCAGTGTCCCTTCCAGTGTGAGGTCTCCCTCGGGTGGGAATCGCTGCTTCCCACCAACTGGCTCACACAGCAGTGAGCGTGTGCCCCGCTGGGTGCAGATTGCATCCACCTGCTCCTCCCTCGACTCCTTGAGCACCCTCACGCTAGGAGACGGGTAGAGGGTGCTTTCCCACTCTCTGTCAGAGATCTCTGTGGACGTTCGTGTAGGCTGTGTCCCCTGCTCCTGGGGCACAGGTGGCTGAGTTCCCCAGTTTCCAACCTGCCAGCTTCCTGTCTAGATGCATCCCTCAGGTCAAGGCCTCTGGTTGGTTTGGGCCTCCCTCCCTCCTCTCACTTTGGATTGTTTTCAGCTAGTTCCAAAGCATTCCATGAGCCCACCATGTTCAAGAACTGAGGTTGTGCCATGACCAGGACAATCCCTCTGTCCTCTCAGGGGTGGGCTACAGCTCGTGTGACTGGGGGGGGGGTCTAGTTAGTCTGTTCCCAAATGCCACTCCAGGCCTGGGCTGTTTCAGGATCAGCCCAGCCCAGACCCACTAAACCAGCCTGAGGGGAGACTCGGGGATTCCTCTCTCAGCAGCAGAGGGTGGYCCGTCCTGCTGGGTCGTCCTGGCTACATCTCTGTGCTTACCAGGCTGGTTTCTGCGTCTGGGTGTCATGACAGTTGCAGACTCTATTCTGGTCAACTGCTGGTCCTGCTCAGAAGGCCAGGCAAGAGAGAGCTACTGACCTGTGGTATGGACGGAGATGCCCAAGGAACGTGTCCTGAGACTTCTCCTCCTCACCCTGGTACCTGCTCTTCTTCCCCTTCTTGTCCTCCTCACTCCCAGGCTGGACAGTCCATTCCCAAATGGTTTTCAGCGTCTGAATTATCCCTGGGCCCACCTTTCCAGGATTCAGGGCCAGATGCAGTATCTCCCTGCTTCCTGCCTCGGGGCTTCGTCCCTGCAGGTTGCTCCACCCAGACTGCCTCCACACCTGCTCCTGTGCAGGTGCGTCCTCTCCTCGACAGCAGGGTCAGTGACAACAGTAAAGGCTACCAGTTGTTCCATTTCCATATGGACCAGTTACCAAACCAGGTGTTTTATGGATATATTTTATTTGATCCTCATCATGATCCGGTAAAGCACAAATGGTCATATCCGTTTTATACACTGGAGACCCAAGAATTGAATGTCCAAGGCAGATATGGCAGGGCAGCTTCAGGTGTGGGAAACAAACCACATTGGGTCTGACATCAAAGTCAGCTTTCCGTGACACCCTGTGAATCCAGTGGCATTGGTAAATACTGCCTCCTTTGTCCCAGGAAGCTGCTGTCAAAGGATCTGCCTTGTCTTCTACCTCCCATGGTATTTTGCAGCTATTTTGGGGAGAGTCCGTATCACACTAAACTGTAAACCATGATACTAACGTACTTTTATTTATATGGCTTATCACATTTTTTGGTGATAGAAAATATAGATGAGCCGGGAAAATTCAGTATCACCCTCAGAAAAACCACTCACATGCATGTCCCGATCACATAGGTCTCCCCCATTATTTTGAGGGGTTTTGTTTTGTTTTCAGTGCTGAGGATGGAACAAAGGCCTCACACCTACTAGGCAAGTGCTCTACCACTGAGCGATGGCCCTGCTAGTTGTATTCTGGACAACTCATCTGAAGAAGTTCCAGTGTAGAAGAGAAATCTGTGGTTTTCAAAGACCTTCACACAAATGCCAAGGTCATCAGTTCCCAGGTATGTGACCTTGGAAAATTTATTTATCTTCTCTCCTCATTTTTTACTAATCATTCTAATGAAAGATGGTAATAACAGTGTTTACCCTATAGGATTCTTGTGAGAATTAAATAATAGAGCCCGTGGATGGTAAGTAGTCAAGGTTTAATGAATATTCTCTACTGTTAACTATTGTGAAAAATAAATATAATTGTGATAGATGGTTTGGAGCCCCACTCCAGGGGAGATTTATTATTCTCTGCTCCAGTGATGGTTGGCTTGACCATGTGACTTGCCTTGTCCAATGAAAATCAAGAATTGTCAGGCGCCATTTCCGAGCCAAACTTAAAGAGCCATTGTGATTTGCCACCTCTTCTTAACTTCTGCTACAAAACTAGCATTGTCCCAGCTAAGGGCTGTTTTGTCAGCCTGAGACTCAGAATGAAAATGATGAGCAGAGCCACAGACTGGCTGTGATGGACAAATCCTGTAGGTGAGGCCCAGAGCTTTGCTTCTGTAAGCCACGGGGGTTCCCCGATTGTTGGTTACCACGGGGTAGCTTATCCTATACTGACTGATAGAGTTGTTAAGCTAGATTTACAGAAAGCCTCTTACTTAAGTATCTGCGGCTCTGGGATTACTCTTTGATTCTTTGCAGACTTCAACACTGGTAAGTTTTTAGGTGAGCCTGGCAGCCTACTTCTGACTGGAATAGAAATTGAATGGCTCCAGGGTGCCTGGGATGCTTGTTATCAGTTGTCTGCCAGTTCTTTAGAGCCTCCCTCATTCTAATTTCTAAAGTCAAGTCATTTAACCAGCTCTTCTTGATAAGGAAGCATAGGCTTAAAGTGCATAGCTCAGGGCTGTCCCAGTGATGAGCACGCACAGCTGTGTTGGTTGGTTATATGGGCTTTGGGGACTGTGGGTCTGTTGAGAAGAGTGTCCAGGTCAGTTTGTGCTGGGAGGGAAGCCCTACCGTAGCTTACCCAGTCGCTGCTGTTACTAAAAGATCTGACCAGAACAATTGTTGAGGAGGACAAGTTTGTTTGAAGGCTCACAGTTTCAGAGGTTCACAGACACTGGCTCCATTCCTTGGGGCTCGAGGTGAGGGACAACATCATGAGGAAGAATGTGGTAGAGAGAAGCAGCTCACATGATGATCAGGAGGCAGAAAGAGACTCCACTCTCAAGATACAAAATATATACCCCAAAGGCCCATCCTAGGGTCCCACCTCCCCCAGCCACACCCTGCCCACCTTCAGTTACCACTCGGTGAACCCCACCAGGGGATGAAATCACTGACTGGGTTAAGACTCTCATAATCCAATCATTTCTCTTCTAAATCTTCCAGCATTGTCTCATACCTGAGCTTCAAGGGGACACCTCACATCCAAACCATAAGAGTCCCTCTTCAGGTGAGGCCAACTCTGCAGTGGGACTTTAGCCCTCCACATATGCCTCCATCTCAAAGAGCCGCTTGCTGTGCCCTGCCCACAGAATGGGCCACTGTCTGTCCATCTCCTAGAGACCTTCTTGCTAGAGAAAAACCTTGCGTTCTTTTATCAGCCATTTTTTGCTGGTTAATTCAATTAAATAAACAGGGATGGTTGGGGGGTGGGGACCAAGCATGGGTGAATTCAAAAGCTCCAGATTCTCATAAGAGGTCTGTCCAGTTAGAATTCCTGTTGTACTTAAGAGCTACGACTCTCTCTTGGATGGATGACCACTTGAATTCCCGCTTGCAAATGTCTGAGGTTGGGGTTCCCTCTAGTCTTCTGGGACCTTCTTTCAAGAGAAGTACCCTGGCAAACTGGCCTAAAAAGCCAGCTGTAGAGGGACAAGAGGTTTATTTGTGGCTCCATGGGGTGATCTGCTCTTCCGAGGGGCTCCAGGGATATTGATGGAGCTTGCCCTCTTGGAGGTCCTTTTCAAGGCTGCTCTTTGTCTCCCACTTGACAAGCCTTGGGCATGACACTTAAAGAAGGTGGAAGTGTCACATCCGCTGCCAGTGATCTAAGCTCACGGAGAGAGTTCTGGATCAGCCGTGACAATAGCCATAGAGATGATGATGACGCTGTCAACCACAAGGACGATGACACCAGGTGATGTTTACTTAATCTGTGTTGTTGACACAGCCAGACAAGAGCCTTGGTGATCACCGTCTCAGAGATGAGGAAGTGGAGGCAGAGGTGGGATCCTTGTCTTGAACAAGGTTGCCTCTGACAATCAGCAGAGCTGAGTCTGAACCTGGGAGTGTGACTCAGAGCCAGCCTCTGTGCCCTGCATTACTTTCATCACTTTCATTACTCCTGTTTGTCATGTTTGCATCCGGTTCTAGATATCCTCCTTCCTAGAGGGACTTACAGGATGGTGAGCAATGACAGCACTGTTTGGTGGAATTCATCAACATTCTCCCTGGTGACAAAACACAACAACGATTATTCATCTATTCCTCGAGTGTCTTCTACTCTTCTCAGCCTCTTTTTTGTGTGTGTTTTACTTAGTTGTATTTTATCTTGTTTTATTTCATTTTTGTCGCTGTGACCAAAAGACCCGACAAGAACAATGTAGAGGAGGAGAAACTTATTAGGGGTTCATGGTATCAGAGGTCTCAGTCCATAGATGGCTGACTCCATGGCTCTGGGCCCACAGTGAGGCAAGACATCACAGGGGATGAGTGTGGTGGAGGAAAGCAGCTCAGGACAGGGCCACCAGGAAACAGAGAGCTCCACTCACCAGGGACAAAATGTAAACCCTAAAGGCACATCCCCAGTGACTCACCTCCTCCAGCCATACCCTATCTGCCTACAATCACACCCAGTTAATCCATTCAAGTTAGAGCTCTCAGGATCCAATCATTTCCCCTCTGAACTTTCTTGTCTGGTCTCACACGTGAGCTCTGGGGGGACTCCTCACATCTCGACCATAACATCATCTTATTTCTACACTCACCGTAAGGGATCTGGGGACAGGGATGCAGCTCCACCCTGGCAGAGCCTAGAAGGGAAACCTGGAAGGTTGTTAGAAACCAGAACAGTTCTCTTTTCCCTAACTGCCTCTGCACAATGCTTCATGATTCTCTTCCCTCAGAGTAGCTTTCTGTGACTCTATGATCCTCCAGGCAACTTGAGGGAGTACCAGCCCCTGTTCACAATGTGTGGTGAGAGTTTTGCAGGCATTAACTCATTTTATCCTCATAAAAACCAAACAAAGTCAGTACTTTAACTATTATCATCACCTCATCCTATTTTTTTTTAAATAAGAAAGTGGAGACTTAGAAAAGCTAATATGGATTTTTCTTGCTCAGAAAGGGAAGGATTCGTGGCAGATAGTCTGATTCTGATGGCCACACCTTAATCACCATCCTCTGAACCCCAAGCCAAGATTTCCAGAGGGAAGGGTCTGATGGGCTCCGTTTGCAGTAGGAATAGCTGTACCAGTCAGGTGGGATTATATAGACCAACAGGGCTGCCCGAGCACACAAGAGATGCAGTGTGGGGGAGGAAGGAACAGAAGTACTTGGGAAAGTCGGACATTATTTGTCTCGCATGTATTCAAAAAGCCGTCTTCTACATCAGGGTTTTGAGAGTTCAGATTCCCCATTGGTTACTCAGGAACTGATTTAAGACTAAACTGATTAAATAACTTTCAGGTTACGCATACGACAGAGGCAAGATTCTAATTCCTAAGTTTTATGTAATGATAACAAGCTATCAGAGGATGCTAGGAGAGTTGTAGAAATGCATTATGTGGCAGATTGTACTGCCCCAAATCTGCAACAGGGCTGGGTTGTGGCTCAGTGGTAAAYTGCTTGCCTGGCGTGTGTGAGGCCCTGGGTTCCATTCTCAGAACCACATATAAATTAATAAAATAAAGGCCCATTGACAACTAAAAAAGAAAAGTATTTAAAAAGTCACGGCAACAAGTATCTCCCACCCCATGCTCTTCATAAAATATAACTGACATTTCCTTCATGGAGATAAGGAGACTACGGCCATCCCTTGAATCTATGAGGGCTTCTTCCTATGGCAGAAGCAACACTGTAGGATTTCTGAGATCAGATCATAAAAGATGAGGGAACTTCTGCTAGCTCCCTGAAAATTCTCACCCAACCACCATAATGCCGACTGGGAGTCAGCTTTTCATTATGGTGACAAAACACCTGAGATAAACAACTTACAGAAGGAAAGGTTTATTTTAACTCTTGGCTTCAGAAGTGGCGGTACATGGTCTTTGGGTTTTGTTGCTTTTGAGCCTGTTGACCAGGCAGAACATCATGGTAGAGCAAAGCTGCTCATCTGTTGACAGCCAAAAATCAAATAGAGGGAGCAGGAGGGCCCAGGGTCTAAAGATCCCCTTCAAGGGCACACCCCCAATGTCCAACTTCCTCCCACTGGGACTGTCTCTGACAGGTCCCACCATCTCCCAGTGGAGACACGGGCTGGAAACGGGATCTTTAACACAGGGGCCTTTGGGGACATTCAAGATCCAAACTATAGCACCTATCCAGGCAGAAAGACTATACAGAGAAACCTTGAGACACCTGGAGTGACAGAAATGTCTGGCCAGCCTCAGTGGCTCCTGCCAACCACTGTTTCAACTACCATCTGAATGCCATAGCATGATAGAACCAGAGCAGGATCACCACGTGAGCCCTTCTCAAGTCTCTGACCCACGGAAACTGTGAGAGATGCTATGATTGGTGGTGTTTTGAGGTGTAAGCTTGGAGGGAATTCATTCCAAGCAGAAAGGCATGAGAACCACCTGCAGTGTTTTGAAAGCCTTTCTGTACAAGAGAAACGAAGGAGTAGCAGGTGAAACCTGCAGGAGGTAAATTTGATTTTTCATGGAGACCTCTAAGTGCAGAATTTTAGAATGAGTCACTCAATAGTTTGTTTTATTATTTTCTTTGTTTTATTATTTTCTTTTTTGGTACCAGCGATCAAACCCAGTGGGGGTTCGATCAAACAACTGAGCCACATCCCAAGCCCTTTTTATTTTAAGTAAGGTCTTAGGAAATTGCATAGGACCTTGTTAAGTTGCTGAGGCCTGGCCTCAAACCTACAATCCTCCTACCTCAGCCTCTGGAGTTTGTTGGGATTGCAGGTGTACACCAAAACACCTGGCTCAGCTCTTCTAAATCTGAGCATTGTCACTGGACATTCAAGCAGAGGATAGATGGTCATTTTGAAGACTGTAGTAGAGGGGTCTGGAAGACCCCCAGAGGTAGCTTCCAACTCTAAAAATATATAATTCCCAATAAGAGGAGGTGAATTGTTTTGAAGAAAAAAACATTTAGTAAGCTCTTCTTAGAAGAGGTGAGGACAAGTGTTGGAAAAGCAGAAGGAAGGGCCACTCTGYAAAAGACCAGTGGGAACTTCTTAACCACCAACTCAATCACACCCATCTCACCTTCAGCCCTGTTCTCGTCCACTGGGGGTTATGGGCCATTACCCTTCCTAGGTACTGCAACCCTTGGTCTCCCTCCATGCTCACACCCCACTGCCTGCTGCACCTGTCTCTTCTCCTGGTTTGCACCTGCCCTGGCTTTGTTCACTCCATCCTCACCTCTCATCTGGGTGACTGCGGCCACTCTGGATAGATAGACTGTTGCCAAATTCATGACCCTAAGGAAATGCCCCAAGTTCAATTCATTAAATCCCCATTGCCTTTGGGACAAAGATGCAAATTCTTCAGCCTTCAAGGCTTTCACAATCTGGCAGAGAATGAAGGAGAAGAAGAAAGAGAGACAGAGATGGAGGATAGAGTTAGAAAAGGGAGAATTGATTAATTCCTATAACCCCAGCATTAGTATCTCCAGACTGCCATAATAAACCACAAACTGGGTATTATAAAACAACAGAAATTTGTTGTCTCCTAGTTCTGTGAGCTATACATTCAAATTCAAGGTGTTAGCAGACCCTTGTTCCTTCTGAAGGTTCTAGGTAAGAATCCTTCTTTGCCTCCTAGCTTCTGGTCAGTCCCAGAAGTCCTTGGCTTGTAGCCACATCAATCTCCACCTATATCTTCACATGGCCTTCCACCTTGTGTGTGTGTGCCCACCTCCTTCTTTCTCTCAAAGAGTCCAGTCATTGGATTTAGGGCTTTTCCTAACCCAGTATGACCACATCTTGATCTGCAAAGACTCTACTTTCAAGATAAGGCCTCATTCACAAGCACTGGRAGCTATGATTTGGATCTTTTGGGGAATATAACTGAACCCCCTGACAATTCCTAATGGATGGAAACTGCCCAAGCAATGATGTAGCATAGGGCTGCCAACTTGTTTATGAAATGGTCCTGGGTGAAGTGTAGAATTTCAGGAATGGTGGAAAATAATATCAAATTGGACAGGCCCGAGAAGTTTTTGAACACTAGAAGCGCATGCATGATTGAAGGACAGGATTTTAATCTCATGTCAAGATCAATATGGAAGTTGGATGGATATAGGACAGATAATTGGAAGTAAAGCTAAGAAGGTCAGTTGATAGATATCCCCATAGCCCAAAGGTGAGAAAGTGGGCAGAGAAGCAGACTGTTAGGCCCAGGGGGCTAGGAATTTTTCTGTTTTTGTCCAGCAGTAGCCCAGGGGTCTTCACTGTCCATCGTGAGTGTCACATCCTAGGATGCTCCAAACATAGTGGAACAGCTGAACTGATGGACCTAGTAAGCTTGCCGCAGTACCAATGGGGAGGAGAAAAAAAAAATGCAACAGAACCTTCGGAGGGGAGGTGACAGGTGGCCCTGTAACGAGGTGAGGGTAAGAAAGTACTGCACCACTTAAAGTCAGGCTCAAGGTCGTGGGGGGGGAGGGGTGGCTGAGTGGAAGAGCACGTGTGCCAGGTTCTGGATTCCACGCGCGTGGGACAAGCGTAGTCAGGCTAATCACTTGGCACCTGTTGGAGGTAAACTGCATCCCTCTCGTTCTCGCATTACCTGCCACACACTGTCTGTCCACCATAATGTGTGTCTACCGCCATTTCTTCCACCTTAGCATGGCCTCTGGAGTGCGGTTCTGTAACCCTACTGGTGGTTGTGTTCTGCACACAGTAGGCCCTCAGTACAACATCCATTAAATGAATGTACCAATGAATGGAATTCTACCTTTAGGCAAAGCCGAAAGTGTCCCTGGATGTCAACTCTGGATGTTAGACTTGTGTACATTTCAAAACACTTGGCACATAGTGAGCACTTGTTGAACCAAACAGAATAAATCCGATTCTCCCAGCTCCGCCCTGGCAGCGCGAGGTCTGCGTTTGGCAGGATGACAGAATTCCACTGCTATTAAATTCTTATGTAAGAGTTAATGACCCTCCGGCCCACTTGACATCCCTGCACAAGGGAAGGGAAGGGGGCGAGTGCACTATTTACAAACACGCACTGTTTGGTGGCAGAGGCACCGACTCGTTCCTAGTGTCGGTTCCCCACAGGGACCTTGGAATCCCGCTGCAAGCTCGGCCRGGGCGCTGCGGGGCGGCGSGCMGGGGCCCTCGGTTGGGGCGCATTTATCCGGCGGGCAAGGCCTGCCCACCTGGCACGGCGTGCCCGCGCCCTGCATTCCGCCCAGGGCTCYGGCTCTGCGGGTGACAGCGGCCCCCGAGGGGGACTCGAGCTCCCGGCGCGCTCCCCGGTCCCCGCAGGCGCCGGGGCGGCCTCGGCGCGGCGGCCCCACCCCGCAGGAGCAGGCGCGCGGCGCGCACTCCCGCCGCCCGGCCACGGTGGGCGCCGCGCGCCGAGGCGGCCCCGGGGAGCGCGGGCCGTGGCGCGGGCGGAAGATGGCGGCGCGGCCGGGCCCCCGGCGGCCGCGAGGGGCCGCGGCGCTGCGCGCTCGGCTGGGCCGGCTCGGCTAGAGCGGCGCCTGGGCCGCGGCGCGGCCTCCTCCCCGCCCGCCGCCGCGCCCCGCCCCGCGCCCGCCCCTCCCCGGCCGCGGCCGTGCCCCGCGTCGCGCTCCCCCGGGATGGCCCGCGCGCCTCGGCGCTGCCTCGCGGAGCACTCGGCGGAGCGGCGGCCGCGCTCGGGGGGCGCGCGGCGGCGGCGGCGGCGCGGCGCGTGAGGCCGCCTCTGGCCGAGCGGCGCCGCCAACATGTCGGATACCAAGGTAAAAGTTGCCGTCCGGGTCCGGCCCATGAACCGACGAGGTGAGGAGCTCTCCGCGCGTTTCCGTTTCTGCCCGGGCGGGCCGAGGGCGGGGGCAACTTTGGAAACTGCGGGGCGGCGGGGCCGGGCGGCGAGAGSGCGGCCGGGGCCCGGGCGCCGGGCGGAGGCGGCGCCCGCAGCGGCTCGGCCACCCGGCGCCCGGGGCTCTGTCCCCGGCTCGGCCGCCTCCCGGGACCGCGCGGCGGCGGGAGGCAGCGCGGGGCGAGGTGGCGACGCTGGTGTGCCCTGTGCTTTCAGAACTGGAACTGAACACCAAGTGCGTGGTGGAGATGGAAGGGAACCAAACGGTCCTGCACCCTCCTCCTTCCAACACCAAACAGGGAGAAAGGTGAGGCGCGTTCCGCGAGGGCGGGCGGGAGGACCCAGCTCGCAGGGTCCTGCAAGTTTGAGCCAGGAAAACGCGAGTGCGCCTTCCCATTGTTAGAGGGCGGCTTCAAGTTTGTCTCACGCTGCCGTTGGAAGCGGTTGCAAGTCCAAGTTCCTCTCTTCCCTCTGTTTCCCCCACCCCCGCCGCTGCCGGTTCCCTCCCCTCCCGAGCGTTGTCACTCAGAGCCGGCGCTCCGGCCACCGGCAGCACCGGTCAGCTGCGTCCCCGTGGGCTTCTCGGCAGGCACTTCGAGCTAGGGGGACGGGTGGAACCCTGGGATGATTAGTCCAGTGGCCACATTTTATGGATAAGAAAACTGAGGCCCGAAGTGGCCAGTGACCAGCCCACGGCCTCCGTGGCACCCAGCGCCCGTGATTCTTTCCTTCTGGGCTTCCTTGGGCAGAATTGTTTAGGGACATTGTGTGTAAGATGGGGATGGGGGGGGGCGGGGGCTAAAGCAGAAACAGTCTTGTAGGATGCAGGCTCAGGCTGGACCATTTAAAATCTATTTTTTTTTTTTTTTTGGTGTTGAGTTGAGATAATGCCTGAATGTAATGCGCGAATTTTGATTTTCAAGGAAACAAAAGTAGAGCCCTGAACTGTGTAGACACTGGAAGGATGTTTAAAAGGGGGCTGCATTTCCTAGACCGTAACATATTTGCATTTGAAAAGTGGTAACTGTTGGATCCTTATTAATTCTGCTGTGTTCCATGCAGTACTATGGGAAAATGCCCTAAAATAATTTGAATATTTGGCATTTTTCTGGTAAGCCCTGGAGAAGAAATGTGTTGGAATTCATTCAGTATGGCAATTCAGWAGCTTGTAAAAAATATCAAAGAAAAACCGGGATTCTACCAAATTATTTCCTCTTGGAAATGAGTATGAGTTTGTTTCTAAAAGTCACCTGTTGATTGATGAGCTACAATGTAGTGATTTTGCTCTTAAGAGATTTTCATTGAAGAGAGGCTCTGAAGTAGTGTTTGTTACTTTATTGCTAAAGGAGGCAGCTGCTCCTATTCAGTAATAATGTGGTATCAGGCACCCTTTTGCTAAATTGAGGGAATGACATTATGAAAAGGTAAGATTAGGATTCTTCACTTTTTTTGTTGAGCCTAGCAATTTTTTAATCTGATTTGACAATATTTTGCTACCCATAGCAGATTCTTATGGTGATATTAAATTTAAAATGTTATGTTAAATACTTTTAAGTAATGGATTTATCCTTGGGCTGTATTTTTAGATGCATWTGAAATATTTTTACAGTATTTTTAGATATAGCAGAGTAGATAGTATGTTTCATGGTGATAGTAAGTAAATTAAGTTAAAATATTTACATATTATGTGAACACAACACTAAAGTCTCCCTACCCCCTGAAAAAGGATATTGTTTTATTATTTCAGAGAAAAAAACATTTTTTTGGTGGGYCACATTCTTCAAGGCAGTCTGGGAAACAGGTATAATATTTTGACTCCTGTATTTTCCACTTATCTTATCCTAGCTGGGGTGGCACCTTCTCCTTGTCACTCTTTCCATAAGGAGCACTACTGTTAGTTACTATTTAATGAAATGAAGCTGTGTCATTTGTGCAGAGAAACAGGCTTAATTTTGTGGATAGAATTTGTAACTTCAGACTGTGCTAAATAATCAATTGATCATTTTGGGGAKTGCCACATTAGTCACTGATCAGATCTTTTCAGTAAAGATTTCAAAGGTGATTTTGGTATTTTTTTTTTTTTTCCATTGGCTTTCTTACTGGGACAGCCCCTGTCTGGAGCTGTGAGAGTAGCATTGGAATATGGGTGCTCTCATTCATCCTTGTGATGCTTTGTGTTGGTGGATGGGCCCTTTTGGTGGGATTCTGCCTGTGTCCTGGCCATTCCATTTACGAGCAGGAGAGTCCGCCCACTACTTGTAGATGCTACTTGCAGATGAAAATTACCGTCTTTGCATGGATGAAGACACCAAGTGCATTTTGATTTTCACTATGCWGCTTGGTTCATGTTTCTTCAGGGAGCTCTCCCTTAAAGCAACAGTGTTTTAAAAATAGAAACAATTACTCCCTTGGGCTCTAGGTTGATTAATTGCAATAGTGCTTCATGTTATATTTGCAATTCATTTCTATCATTTGTTTTTGGATAAAGCTCCGGGTAGGGCAAGTGTGAACCAGTTGTGTACTGAGAATATTTATTATTTCTCATACCTAGAAATCCAAGTTTTAAGGTATAAGAGGCCCTTACATAATATTGGCCAAATTGTGTCAGATTGAGAATTACTGTTTTTCTGAAAGTTGCAAGAAATCACCAATGCATTAGTCACAAGTGGCAATTCAGAGTTACTGGGTGAAAGTTTTCAGTCTTACCAGCAAGAGAAAGTGAGAATGCATTGACTTCCAGAAAAAGAAACAGGCTTAGCTTTCTTAATGTTCCCCCTTTATGGAATCAAAGGCCAGACTGCTTAGTTAGGACTAGAAAATCAGAGGACTTCTGAGGGTAAAGATGTTTGTTCTGGTGCTGAAATTCTAAGATTGTTATACATGATGTAGGTCCAKGTTAATAGTTGACTTGAACAGTAAGATATAGGAGTTTGTTTCTTAAAACTCCATTGCCTTGCTATTCGGGAGCCATTTACAGCGTTCATATGAATATTATGCTTGGCACAGKGTATCCAGAGATAACTGCAGGTCTGCTGCCTATTCCAGAGGTTCTCAACTTGAGAGTAGTGGGAAGAAAGAGGAAAAAATACTTAAAATAYAGTGTGGTAATTACATGGGCATATACTTTTGCCATTATACGTACCTTATCATTTGGACATTGCCTGCTTTCTCTCCTGTCCTGCCCTGAAGGCTTCGAGCTTCCTGAAGGCAGGTACCTTCTACCCTTTGTGCCCTGTATCCCTGCACAGTGCTTGGCACAGAGCAGGCGCTCAGCACCTTTCTCCAGAGTGATGTGAGCACTGGAGAAAGACTAGGCAAGCCCCTTAGGTTCTGGCAGCCTGCAGAGACAGGTGGCATTTGTGCTGGTCTTGTGCAAGGTGGGGTAAAGTCCTTTGTGGATAAAAGTGAAAGCAAGCCTGCCAGATTACTTCTGGGTGATTATACCATGTGAGTATGAGTGTGGGGTGTGGATTAGGATGTGGAAAAAGGCCATTTGCTGGTAGGGGGTATGTGTGGGGGGGATGGATGAGAATTCCTGATGTGCCCAAGTGTGTGAGATAGAAAGTGAAAAGTCTTCCACTCACTCCTGCTTGTCTCCTCTACTCTTCTCATCTTACCTCTTTGAAAAAAAGGATTACCACAGTCATCTATTTCTCATGAATTTTCTTGCCTATATAGTCTATATTGACATGTATATTCCATAAGTATACCTTGCAAGTATGTATAYGTATACATACATATGTATATTGTAACAAATACTTTTGTTACTGTTCAATACTAGCATGTATTGAAGACTTACTCATCCTTTCTTTTTTTCTCCTAATGCTGGGGATTGAACCCAGGGCCTTGGGCCTGCTAGGCAAGCATGCTACCACTAAGCTATGCCCCTAGCTCCATAGTGGTAGGTTTTGTTTTGTTTTGCTTTTTTTTTTTAACAATAGATCATTAGCCTCAGAATCTGATCCTTATAATTTTTGGAAAGTGAAGCTTTATTAGGAAAAGYGCATGATGGAACTTGCTTTCTACAGGAATTTGTCATTATTGTATGTAAGTGAATTGTAAGGTAAGCATCTACAGTAAAGTGTGTATTGAGCCTAAGTAAGAAGAAAATATTGGACCTAATATGGGCTCTTAGTAGAAGAACATCAGAGTTTTATACTTCTGATTTTCTTCCACACTGCGGGGTGTGTAGTGTACCTTACTACCTCTKTGAGGAAGGGTCTGGTGGGAGAAAGCGAACCTTGGTCACCTGCATGTATATTTTCTAGTTTATACTTCTGTGTTTTTATTAGAAATAAAAAGCTGACTTCACTTGCCATTCCAGAGTCTTCWAGGATATTTCCTCCTGTTCAAGGGTCTTTGTGGATAGACCACAAATTTAAAAATTAGTGAAAGTCACACAAAATTAGAAATGTAAATCACCTAAGAAACAGTAATATTCCACATTATCATCAAATCATTTTTAGGGACTTTGAGTTGTTTTCTGTGTTGTTACTCTTCTCTCTGGCTTTATTGTAGAGTATACTATATAAAAGTAAAGGATATTTAGGGTTCACTAATATAGAAATATGCATTCTTCAGGTTTGTCATTAGTGGGAWTTTAAAGAGTATCACAATCAGATATTTTTATTAGCTGTCAATGTCTTYAGTTTGTTTGAAAATAAATGTACATGGAAATCTCTTTTTAAAACAAGTTTGAAAGCAATTATAAAGCAGTATAGAGTGGTTTGAAAATTATTTTGATATAGTCCATGATTCAAAATGCCTTTTACATTTTGAAATAAACCYTGTATGTGTGTATGTGTATTTTAAATGTTCATGGAAGTATAGTCTTAAATATACACAGTGTCTTTCTTATTTTCTGTTCTCTTCTGTTCATATAAAACATGATAGTTGTGCTGTGTAATCCAGTGASTTGGGAGGCTGAGGCAGGAGGATCACTAGTTCTAGGCCAGCCACAGCMATGTGGTAAGGCCCTGTCTCAAAAATAAAAGGGTTGGGGATGTGGCTCAGTGGTAAAGYGCTCTGGGTTAAATCCCTCGTGCCAAAATAAAACAAAACAAAAAGATGGTTGTGACTTACCTGTGATTTCACAACCCACTAATGAGTCACAAATGGATAATTTGAAAACACAAGTTTAGTGGGTAAGAGTTTGGGCTCTGTTTTTGTTTTGTGTTCTCATTTTTTTTTCTTTTTAAAATCAGTGTGAAGTGTGAAGTCATAATTTGTAAAGTGTATGAAGCTCTATAATTTATAAATGTTATAGTAAAAAAGAAGAAGCAGCCGCCTTCTCTTTATATCTTTCCT